CAGCCCTAATATATATATATATATATATATATATATATATATATAATAAATAAAAACACTACATACAATACAACATTTAATTGTTTTTATTATACTAACATTCATATTATGTATCATATTAATATTTGTGTATTAATATATTATTTTCTCTTTTTTTTCATTTTATTAAAATACCATTAACAATACACATTAACATTACAGTTAAATAAAATGTGGAGTCAGTAAGATTTTGAAATAATAACTGAATGAATAACTTTTGGGTTTGAGAGTCTTTTTGTTAATTCAGTAAATTAGTTAATTAGTTCATTCAAAATAAAATAAAAGGATGCATAAGCTGCAAATAAACAGCAAACTCAGATAACCAAACCCAGGAATACTAATGTTAATGGGTAGAAACTATGCTCTGATTCTTACTCTGTTACACAATCTCTCACGGGACGGGCAGTGGCGATGTTTCCTTTATTTGTATGAAGCTCCTGACTGTGGATTTATAGAGGCTTTGAAATATATATACAGTGGGTACGGAAAGTATTCAGACCCCCTTCAATTTTTCACTCTTTGTTATATTGCAGCCATTTGCTAAAATCATTTAATAATTTTTTTTCCTCATTAATGTACACACAGCACCCCATATTGACAGAAAAACACAGAATTGTTGACATTTTTGCAGATTTATTAAAAAAGAAAAACTGAAATATCACATGGTCCTAAGTATTCAGACCCTTTGCTGTGACACTCATATATTTAACTCAGGTCTTTCCGTACCCACTGTATGTATATATATATATATACATGAATAAAAACCTCTTACAAAAGAAGTATTGGGACAATTTAAGGAGTATTTAAAAACAGAAATTTTAAGCATATTGTTTTATAAAAACATGTTTTTTTATGTTAAAGTTTTTTTAGCTGTAAAATTCTTCTTGCCATTTTGACGATATTTTACGTTTTAGGCATCACACTTATAGTTAAAGGAAAAAAAAACTCAAATAAATTAAATCTAAACAGAAATACTCAAAAATCAATGTGACAAAATGACATCTAATATAAATAGATACTTTATAATATATTATAATATAAAAATAAAAGCCAATTAAAAAAATTAATAAAACTATAAAAGTATATAAATAATAACTAATTCAACATCATTTGTGTGAAAATTATTTACATCAATTTGAGGCAACATTTCATTTTCAAACTAGAGCATTATTTGATTATTTGTCATTTTTTTTCCTCATTATTTTTATGGTTACTGTAAGTTTTTAGGCATCACAGTATATTGTTTATGTGTTGCGGCTACACTATTGAAAGTATTTTATGTTTATAGATTGGCCCAAATCTCTTCATTATAAGTGCACTGTAACCCAGATTTTTGCTTTTTAAATCAAAATAGATTTTTGTTCTAATCAACAATATTCCACGAGTGCTGTTGATCTGTTTGTCAGTCACAGAATGATTTAAAATGAACACAATGCTCAACACATTCCTCACCTTTGAAACACACACACACTGGTGTAGTTTAGTTGTGTCTCGCTAATCTAAGGTTTTTGTGAAGCGATGTAACCGTACACCAAAGAACAACATGCTGAGCGATGTCGATAAACACTACGACTGTTGGCCTCGCTATCAAAACACTGCTGTCAACATTTGGTTACATGTGAAACAAAAGCAGGTGTTCAGACAGCAATGGGACTGACAACGACAGCATGTGCGAGTGTGCTTTGCTCTGAGAGAGAACAGGTGCTACAGAGCCATTAGTGTGTGTGTGTGTGTGTGTGTGTGTGTGGTTTAGGGTTTGTAGTAACAAGTGTTGCGGAGAGTTTGACTGACTTCATGGCCAAACTGCAGACTAATCCTAATCACAGCTCCAATGCAGCCATCACACACATATACAGCAGCACTAATGCTTACATTTGCCAAAAGGCTGCAAAACAACAGTTTATATAGTGTTATATAGTGTGAGACACACACACACAGAATACAATTACCGGGTATTTGTCAAATGCACATGGTGACGTCTCTGCTGCGTCCTCCGCTGCACTCGCTCGGCTGTATTCACTCCAAATCCTCTGCTGAACAAAAGCTGCTGTGAGAAGGATAAAGAGAAGGAGAGAGAAAGAAGACACGTTATATCTTTTATCTCACGACTACAGGAGTTTGAAGCAACAGGAGTTTGACCCTTGTCACCCAGTAATCCATTAAACACAAAGAATATCAATAATTACACATATTAAATGATGATGATCTAAAAAAAAAAAAAAAAAAGATTTAAAATGAACCTAAAACAATTAAATACTAATTTTGTAAAATGATTTATCAATTTGTGGCATCACTACGACCGTTATTTTGCAACAATCAATTTTCTCCCAAAAGTTATTATATTTTGCTGCCGAGTTATCATCAGCTAAAATTAAGACTATTAAAAATAAAACAAACAAAAAAATTGGGTTAAATTAAATAAGTAAAAGAGAAAATAAATAAATTTTTCTTAAATGAAATAAATCTGAAATTAAAAAGGAATAAATATTAGAAAAAAAAAAACTTACTGAAACAATTTTGACGCACAAAAATTCCTAACTTGATATAAATTATGATAAATTATGAACTAAATCAAACTAACCAAACTAAATAAATACTAATACTTAGAAATATGAGACGTGCTGAAAAAGTAAAATCAGGGTAAATGTCACTTGTGAACAGCATCAGCAGTTTTTATTGCGTGTCAATTCCAATCAAGCTGTAATTCGGTCAAAATATAGGCCTACAGAAAGTGTCAAATTATTATTTAAAGGAACTGTTCACCCAAAAATAAAAAAAGTCTTTCATTATTTACTCACCCTCATGTCAATCCAAAGCTGTATGACTTTTTTCTTCTGTGAAACACAACTAACATTTTGAATAACGAAAAAGAGTTTCTGTTACCATTGACTTCTACTGTATTTACAACATTTCTCAAACTATCTTTTTTATTTTTTTATCAGTTTTGGGTGAACTATTCCTATAAGTATATATAGTTAAAATACATAAAATTACATTTTAATCTGCCATATTATTTGCAATATGATTAAGATGTCAATTTCACCACAAAATGAATGGCGATTCATGATAATTTGATAAAAAAAGACCAAATTCTCTATAAATGCAAGTATAAACATTGCTGTACATTGTTAAAGTACAAAATTCGAATTTAGTTTTTCAGCCATTTTGACAGCCCTAGAAAGAATTCATTGTTACAATGATCTTATCTGAACTTTCTGTTCATAAAAAAAAATTCAGCAAAGGAAAAAAAAAAATTTCCACAAATATTAAGCAGCACAAATTTAAACATTGATAACAATAATAAACCTTTTTAAGCAGCAAATCAGCATATTAGAATGATTTCTAAAGGATCATGTGACACTTGACTGGACTGGAGTACTGATGCTGAAAATTCAGCTTTGCATCACAGGAATAAATTACTAGGGCTGGTCCGAATACCATTTTTTGAGCTTCGAAGCTTCGGTAGTAATCAACACCGAATATTCAAAGCTTCGGAGGGAGGGGGCTGAACATATTCTTCTCTCTAACACCGGCAGGAATCTCTGTGTGTCTGTCTGTCTGTTTGCATTTTTATTATGTCGAGAACCGTTCATCCAAAAGACTTCAAGCGTGGCGCCTGTGTTGCTGCGGACCTAAGGGAGTGCAGTCTCGCATTTTGGTGCAATATGGACACACGACACGTTCAGAATTAATAAACTTTTAATAAACTACAGAACAGCGCGAGCCGGAAGCGGCGCGCCTCACGCGGGCAGGGCTTATATGCTCCGAGAACGGACACTGCACTAGTGATACAAAACACACAGGTCTGTTAAGAGCAATACTTTCAATAAGGTAGCCTAACATTTTCCTAACAAACAAATCACTCCCAAATCAAAAATTAGCAGCACAGTAATTATTGACACCGTATAAGGTAGGCTATTTAAATAAAAGAAGAACGAAAAATAAATGAACGAAGTTCAACGAACTGTAATAAATAAAGAACATGGTAGCATAGACAAATTATTATTCGCAAGTATTTTCCAAGCAAATTAAGGGCGCGTTTTTAACATGTGTAAAATTAGTACCTATAGACAAATATTAGGCTGGGCTACTATATGTTTTTTTATGACTGCCGTATTCGCAAGTATTTTCCAAGCAAATTAAGTGCACGTTTTTATCATGTGTAAAATTACCGATTAACATGGTGGATAAAAGCAGCTCATTTTTTTACACCAACAATATAATATAGGCGTACTACTTACAGAACTCTTGATTTTTCTAACTTGATGTGCTGTTGTGGTAGGCCAGTTTCAAATCGCATATTTGGCACACTGCCTTTGTCTTGTCCTCACTCAATTTAAAGTGCTCCCACACAGCTGAGGTCTTTGGCAGTTTTGTCTTCTCTTCCAGATGAACTGAATCATGACGTTCATGGCGTTCACTCATGGGCGATTCATATTCAAGCGCTAATGAGATCCGTTTCGCGGGGGATGCCAAGTGTTCGAGAAAAAATAAAATAATAATATTCGAATCTCAAAATTGAAAATCGAATGCCAACCCACCAAACGAATATTCGAATATTCTGGTCCAGACCTATAAATTACATTTTAAAATATATTCACACAGAAAACAGTTATTTCAATATTTCACAATATTACTGTTTTCACTGTATTTTGGTCAAATAAATGCAGCCTTCATGAGCATAAGAGACTTCTTTTAAAAACATTAAAAAAAAATTCAACTTTACTGTAGTATATATATATATATATATATATATATATATAGCTAAATTATTTAGCATTATCATTAATTTATTATTAATATACTTATGCATTATTTAAAATGTTTATTCATTTGAATTATTCATTATAATTGCATGCCTGAAAGAGATTAATGTTTAAATACTTTTTGGATTAATTTGAAAAAGCATTTAGGGCACTTATAAGACTGTAGAACTGTTGAAACATAATTCATAAATTAAAGTTACAGTAATCTAACATGCTTTACGTTGTTTAAGTCAATTTTGAGAGGAAATTTGTGGAAAATGAGCAATCTGAAAACCTATTTATTTATGTATTTATTTATTTATTCATTCTATGAAATCTGGCAAAATGCCTTAAGGGAATCTAAGAGTAATATACTTTAGCTTATGTTGCTGACAACATAATCAAATTAGCTAAAATATTTAATGACCGTGAGGAACAGGGGAATTATGAGCTACAAGTAAATCTAGTTAGCTTTCTGTTACCTTGTCTGTTTATGACATGACCTTGTTCGATTAGTCTGTGGATAGATGAACGAGAGCGTAAAGCTGTATTTAAAGACCGTAAATGTAATGTTCAATTGACGGTAAAGATTGTGCATGTTCGTTACCACTGCACGCGTCAGAAGGGCAACACAAATCACCTTCACATGTGTCCGTCTTGCGAGGGAACGTCGGGATGAATATTTGCGTGGTGAGCCTGATGGTGTGACAGGAATGATTAATGTGAGAGATCTCGGAAGGTTGTTGAAAGAGACTGTGGAAAGACGCTCAGAGGCATGAATGAAAGGCGGAATGGAGCGAGGGATAGATCCGGATGAGAAAGAGCGTAGGAGGTGTCGCTGTCTTGTTGCAACCTGCCGGGGAAACAGTGTAACAGAGAACAGACACACTGAGCCTGAAGGAACGAGTTCAAGTAGTTGAACAGCTCAGTTTTTCCCACCTTCATTTACATGTGTTACCCCAAACGTGATCATTAATCTTTCATCTCCCTATAGCTTTTGCTTTTAGTGTAATCTGCTTTGTTGTAACTGGTAGGTGAATCACTTGGAAGGGAATAGAAAACACACTGAATATGTTTTTGCTTTTAAAAACTGTTGAGAGGTAGAGTAGTGGAATTAAAGGCAACACTTTTTAAATTTGAGCACTGCGTGCTATGAGCAAGACAATGCAACAGACATGAGTGTACCAGTCCAACATGTCAGTCTAGTGCAGGTTAATATAGAAAAAGAACTGAAAAACAGAGCAGTTAAACACAAAAACACATTCTGTGTAAACAGCCACTTATGATGCCAAAATAAGTCATACATATTTAGCCTCTGACGTCCAGCTATTTTTGACCAAAAATGTTGTTTTTGTTTGTTTGTTTGGTTTTTTTTAGAATTTTTTACTTCATCTGAATGGGACTTTAAATTAGTAAAGGTTTTGGCACTTGCTGTGGAAAAAAAAATTATAATCATAGATTCAAAAAGGTTAAATGGTCCTGAAAAAAAACACAAAAAAAAAACAGCCAAGCTTGTACTGTTCACAATCAAAAATGATCGCATTAGAAAAGAACGTGAGGTGAATTTCATCAAGTGGAAACATTTGGTACGGCACCCAAACAAAAACTTAGGCCCTGTTTAGTGCGTTTTCGTTTTAAAACGCATAACTTTTGCTACGGTTGCGCCTGTCATTTGCACTACTCCAGCATTTTCTACCCTCGAAAACGGAGACTTTCGAAAGCACTGCAGACCACTTTTTAATTTAAAAACTCCGGGGTTGCATTTCAGTGTAAATGGACCAAAACGGAGACTTTTGAAAACAATGGCGTGGCTGCCCACATTCTCTCTGCGTATTCTTGACGACCGTGTAAACAATAACATCATGCTCATTGTTGTACCCATAGGCCACGTACACACCGAGTGACACATGGAGTGAGTCCCGTAAATTATCGTTCCATGTGTGTACGGAACAGCAGTCACTCCAGCATTTGTAACCATAGCAACATTTTGCCATCTTACGGGAGTGAAGAAGAATTTAGCCATTTGGTATCTACCATGTTTTGGCTAAAGACTCTATTTGTCCGTCGATTTGAACTATACTACCGCTGATAGACGTGCTGCGTTTTGTTTATGCTAGGGAGGCAGCTTTAGAAAGCGCTGTCTTGCAGTGTTGCCATGTCCTCATATTTACAAGCGCTTTTAGGCATGTTGCTTGGTCTTAGCTCATAAATACAGGCACTTTATGGAGTTAATAAAGTGGTCTGTTGCGAATGAGATATATAATTTTTTTGCTGTTATAAAACAAAGCATTTGGGTGTTTCA